AGATAGATAGATAGATAGATAGATAGATAGATAGATAGATAGATTAGATAGATAGACAGACAGACAGACAGACACGATAGGTATAGATGATAGATTAGCTAGCTGGATGGATGGATGGATGGATGGATGGATAGATAGATAGATAGATAGATAGATACATAGATACATAGATAGATACATAGATAGATAGATAGATAATAGATAGAGAGATAAATAGATGGATAATAGATATAGATAATAAATAGATAAAAGGATAGGATAGATCAACAGATAGGTAAAAATAGATAGATGGATAGTTAGATAGATAGATAGATAGATAGATAGATAGATAGATAGATAGATAGATTAGATAGATAGACAGACAGACAGACAGACACGATAGGTATAGATGATAGATTAGCTAGCTGGATGGATGGATGGATGGATGGATGGATAGATAGATAGATAGATAGATAGATAGATAGATAGATAGATACATAGATACATACATAGATAAATAGATAGATAGATAGATACATAGATAGATAGATAGATAGATAGATAGATAGATATAAATAGATAAATAAATAAATGAAATTGTTTTATTGGTCTTCTTTTTTTCCCTTTCAGAATACTGAACCCTTAGTTAGACCTTCAGCCTTTAAGCCAGTTGTTCCTAAAAACTTCCATTCCATGCAAAACCTGTGTCCAGTGCAGAGCAACGGCGTCACCACCGAGAACCGAAAGACTTTAAACCACACGCACAGCAATAGTCCTGCGCCGGTCAAAAGCGGCCTGGAGAAGGCCAGCCTTAACAGGACTACCAACCCAGAGAGAGTCGGTCTTTCCGATTCTGGCCGCAACTCTTTAACCAGCTTGCCCACGTACGGCACGGGCTACAGCCAGCACGTGGCTCCCATGAGCGCCTCCACCAGTCACATCAACCGCATCGGGACCACCTACGGCGAGAAGAACGTCGTGGGATACAACGGGATATCTACCTCAGACAGCGGCCGGTCTTCCACGAAGAGCACCTCTTCCTTCAGCCGACTCAATCATCTCAACGAAACGATGCCTTTCCACTCGCCTTCCACGGACGACATCATCCAAGACCTGGAAAACCGCCTGTGGGAGAAGGAGCAGGAAGTCCTCCAGATGAGGAGGAACCTGGACAAGAGCGAGGCGGCCATCTACCAGGTCTTTGAGGAGAAGCAGAAGATTTGGGAACGGGAGATGGACGAGCTGAGGCAGAACTACGCCAACAAGCTCCAGCAGGTCTCCAAGAAAGCCCAGCGAGCTCAACAAGCCCTCCAGCTCCAGATCTTCAAGCTCCAGCAGGAGAAGAAGAAGCTCCAAGATGACGTCGCTCAACTCCTTCAACAGCGGGAAGAGCTGGAGAAGAAGTTTGTGGCTTTCAAAAAAGAGCAGGCCGAGTTTCTTCCCAAGATCGAAGAGACCAAGTGGGAGGTGAGAGTCAGCCAGGGTCAACACCATACAAGGCAGGGGTGAAATCCAGCAGGTTCTGACTGGTTCTGGAGAACCGGTAGTGGAAATTTTGAGTAGTTCAGAGAACCGGTAGCGGAAATTTTGAGTAGTTNGGCATGAAAGCTGGCTGCATGATTTTGGGCCAATCACCAGGGAATGTGAGTTCTAGTTCCATCTGAGCCATGAAAGCTGGCTGGGTGATTTTGGGCCAATCAGTAGGAAACTGTGAGTTCTAGTTCCGCCTTAGTCACGAAACCCAGCTGAGTGACTAGACCAATCAGCAGGAGAAGGTGGATCCTAGTCTCACTTTAGGCATGAAAGCCGACTGGGTGACTTTGGGCCAATCACCAGGGGACGGTGAGTTCTAGTCCGGCCTTAGGCATGAAAGCCGGGTTTAACACGGACAAAGGGAAGCTGAGGACATAGATGAACGTTCTGCTTTTCGGTCATTGTTATCATTGCATAGTTGTTGGTTTCAATCAGTGTCAAGCCTTAATTGTCCTTTGTCTTCCGGTGGCTTCCACCCATGGGCGATGCAAGCCAGGAGCGCAATATTGTTTTCCCGACTAGAGAACCCTACAATTATCTCATTATTGGCTCGGGAAAGACACAAACAAGCATCTCTGTGGTTTTTTTCAATTCCTCCCTTTTCTTACTGTGTTTTAGGAGACTTCCCAAACTCACGGGGGCATTTAAAAATAAATAAATTTGCAATTCTTGGGACTCTTGTTCCACTTCCTCAAAGTTACGCAAATCAGGCCTCTTGGGTTGAAGGGGGGGGGGATAAACAAGGTAAATAGGGGGCTGGACTAGAAGACCTCTAAGGTCCCCTCAGACTCTATGCTGATTAAGAAAGCAAATACAGGCTAAAACGCCCCTCTTCCCGTTTGAAATCCTGCAGAATTTTCTGCCAATAATGTGGTGAAATATATATATATATATATTTTCCCTCGAAATGTTGAAACAGTGTGTAGGAAAAAATCTTTTGGCGCCCCCTTAGCTTTTTTCTTCTTCTTAAATTCCCCGTGAGTAAAGAAAGTTAGGGATTCGAATGAAAAAAGTGACTTATGGCTATTTCTCACACTTACGACCGTTATAGCATCCCCGTGGTCACGTGATCAGAATTCAGATGGTTGGCAACCGACTCATACTTACGACGGAGGCCACACGATCCCCTTTTACGACCTTCTGACAAGCATAATCAATGGGGAAGCCGGATTCACTTAACGACCAGGTGACCAGCTTATCAACTGCACCTATTTGTTTAGTGACCGTTACGACGGTCACTGAAAAAAGCAACCTCTTACGGCCATTTTTCACCCTTACGACCGTTGCAGCATCCCCGCGATCACGTGATTAAATTCGGAAGCTTGGCCACCGACTCATATTTATGACGGTCGCATATGCTACAACGGTCGTAAGTGTGAGAAATGGTCCTAAGTCACTTTTTTCAGTGCCATTGTAACTTTGAACCGTCACTAAATGAACGGATGTAACTCGAGGACTCCCTGCATTTATGACAATCATTCGCAGTGTCCCGGGTTCATGCGATTCCCCTTTTGCGACCTTTTGACGAGCAAAGTCAATCCGGATTCACTTAATGACCGGGTTACTAACTTAACAACGGCGGTGGTTCGCTTAACAACCGTGGCCCAAAAAAAAGGGCTTACAATCAGGCGAAACTCCCTTAACGAACGCCTTGCTTAGCGAGAGAAATTTCGGGCTCAGTTGTGGTCGTAAATCGAGGACTATCTCTCCTATAATCTGGCCCAAAAAGAAAAGGTGAGTTTGGAGTTTCCTTTGAAGTTTTCGGGAGGGGTGGGGGGGGGAACCTAGAATTTGCAAAGCAAATAGCCCCCCCCCCGTTCAGCCTCCACCACCGCCCCTCCCTGTGGAAACAACCGTCGAGATTAGCATCAATGGAATAAAAGCACTTTTTGTCTTTTTTTTCGTTTTTAAAATAAAAACAACCCTCTTAATGGATGTTGGGAAACCCGAAGCCTTTGGAATGGGTGGGGAGGGGCTGGTTAAATATTGACTATTGGTCTACTGGAGTTTTGTGGAGTAAATCCTCCCCAGCTTTCAGCCAAAGAAAACACAAAGCATTCAGGATAAAAGCAGTAATAAGGACTTTATGAAAGGTTTGCTTTCTTAATTGCATTGGAATTAGGGAAGAAAAAAAAAAATCAGCCTTCCCGATTGTTTTGCTAGAACCACCCGGCCATCCGTCATGGGTTGAACACTGGAGGAGGGAATCAGATCTCAGATTTAGAGGTTGGTCCAGCCGAGTTTGTGAAGATTTGAATACAGTTCAGCAAATTCAAAAGGAAAGCAAGAGGCTAGTCCTCTGGGAGCCTAGCGAATCATCTCCAAGCACAGGGTTGGTTTCCCCCCCCAAACTTCGAGCATGCTTGCTGGAGAATTGTGAGAGTTAAAAAGTCCACACCAGGAGTGAAATGCATTTGACTTTGCTACCGGTTCTGCGCAGGACCTTCTGCGCATGTGCAGAACACGCCTGCAAAGGTAAGCGAACAGTGAGGGGAGGAAATCTGTACGCATCGCAGCTGATTGTCGGAAAAACTGGTTCGCCTGAACCGAGACCTTTTCCTTTTGCTACCGGTTCGAGTGAACAGGTAGCGTTTTTGCTATTGGTTCGGACGAACGAATCATTTCACCCCTGGTTCACACATGTTCTAGGATTTGGAAGTCCACCCATCTTCCAGTTGGCAAGGTTGAGAAGCACTATTCTACAGTACAGGCAGTCCTCGACTTACAACAGTTCATTTAGTGACCGTTCGAAGATACGTCATCACTGAAAAAAGTGACGTCTGACCATTTTTTCACACTTACAACCGTTGCGGCAGCCCTTTGGCCCCATGATTAAAATTCAGACATTTGGCAGCCGGTTCGTATCTATGACGGTTGCAGTGTCCCTGTGACCCCCTTTGTTGCGACCTTCTGACAAGCACGGTCAATGGGGAAGCCAGTTTCATTTAACAACCGTGTGATTAGCTTAACAACCACAGCGAATCAGTTCACAACAGAGGCAAAGAAAGATTGTAAAATGGGGCCAAACTCAAGAAACAACCGTCTTGCTTAGCAACGCACATGCGTAGCACTCAAAGACCGCCCTCGGTGTCAGCGCTGATGAGCTGAGCTGTTTTTTAGCTCAGCTAAGGCGCGGCTATCCGCTATGCCACACAAATCAGCTGAGCTAAAAAAACAAGGGAATATAGGACTGGGAAGGGCAGGAGGGCGCGGCCAGCCAGAGGTGGTATTTGTCGGTTCTCCAAACTACTCAAAATTTCTGCTACCGGTTCGTCCGAACTTGTCCAAACCGGCTGAATACCACCTCTGTGCCGTTGTAAATACTTGTTGGAAAGAAAATGCATCTGGTTCAGTTCCAAGCTGGGAGAAAGGCGCTGGGGATAAAATGGAGGCTGTAGGGTGATAGAAAGAAAGGTTCCCTTTATTGATGAAGCAGAACCACCGACCGCGTGTGGTTTTGGGACAGCTGACAAAATGGGAGTTAAGAGTGGGTGGGTTTTTTGGGGCTTCGTATTTGAGCTTCCTGTTCCTGTGCAAGAACCTGTCCTTTAATAGTCTGTTGGCTCTTGTCATCTTCATGTTGTCATGGCTGGCTGTATAGCAGGGGTGTCAAACTCACAACCGCAGCGTGCTTTGATCTGGTCCGTGGGGCTGCCCTGAAAACAGCGGACCGGCCCTGGTCCCTCTGCCAGTGAAATCGAGCTCCCGAGCTCTGTTTTCGGCTGTGACGGCTTCCTGCAATTCTCTGGCAGTGAAAACAGAGGCGGTTGCAAGAAGTTGTCACAGCCGAAAATGGAGCTCGGGAGCCCGTTTTCGCTGCAGAGTGCTCGGGCCACCACAGGGGTCCTCCCCAAATGAGTGATGTCGTGCTGGCCATGCCCCCCCTCCGCCCAGGTCAAACATAACCCTGATGCGGCCCTCAATGAAATCGAGTTGGACACCCTTACTCTAAAAGCAAAAGAGGAAATACAAATCCGAGGTGCTGTTCTGAGCTAATCCTCTCCGCTTGCCTAATTGCTTATCAGGAGTTTCTGTCTGACCCAGTCTTTCGGAATGGAGTATCAAATCTGCATTTCTAAAAGCTGGCCTGCTCAGTATCTGCTTTGGGAGGAAGGGAGACTGGAGCTGGTTTCTGCCTCCCTTAAGATTCCCCCCCCCCCGATTTCTCATTTAGGGGAAATATTCTATCCTGCCTTTTTAAAATATTTCCCAAAAGCTTCCTATATACCAAAAAGCATTTACTCTTTCCTGCCCTCTTGTGGCTGCCTGGATATTTGCCACTCAGAATCAGTATTTTTTTTTTGGAATGTGCTTGAAGGATATTTCTTATTTTTGCTGTGACCCAATTCCTGGACTTTTCACAGCTAAACCAGAGGCAGCAAACAGAATGAAGGGGTGTTTTTTTTCGGATATTTGCATCTCCGTTGGCTACTGAAACGTCTCCCTTCCAGGCAGTTCTCTCACTCTTTAGAAAGTGGGAGAAGTAACACCTCTCCGAATAGCCAGGTGTTACTGCTGTCCGTTTTTAATGCGTCCGTGAAGGGCTGTTGAAGGGCTGCCTCGCCTGTAAGGGATCGTGGGTGGGTGCCTGTACATTGCAAGCCAAACTCCGAGCAATTTTGCTCAGCCATCTATGCAACGTTCATTATTATTTTTTTCCCTTCTGCCTTTGTTTTGTGCAAGGCTGATTGTTCTCTTCTTTCTTCTGTTTTTGCATGTGATGCTGTTACCTAGTTTGATAAATAAATAATAAAACGCCTGCAAGAAAACCACCAAGCTCAGAGAGCATCAAGGACCCCACAGTTCTCCTCCTCCTCCTCCTCCTCCTCCCTCTTCCCCTTCTCCTCCTTCTTCTTTTCCTCCTCCTCCTCCTCCACCTCCTCCCTCTCCCCCCCCCCTCCTCCTCCCCCTCTCCTTCTTCTTTTCCTCCTCCTCCTCCTCCTCCACCTCCTCCCTCTTCCCCTCCTTCTTCTTTTCCTCCTCCTCCTCCTCCTCTCTGCAAACCCCACTCCCTTCTAGCACTGATGATGTTACCTAGATTGGTCAGGAAACGTCTGCAAGAAACCCACCGAGCTAAGAGAGCGCCGAGGACCTCACAGTCTTCCTCCTCCTGCCCCTCCTCCTCCTCCTTCCCCTCCGCCTCCTGCTCCTCTCCTCTCTGCAAATCCCACTCCCTTCTAGCACTGATGATGTTACCTGATTGGATCGTGAAACATCTGCAAAAAAAAAAAAAACATCAGAGAACACAATACCTTGGTGGGAAGGTAACAGCATTCCATGCGCCTTCGGCGTTGAGTCATGCCGGCCACATGACCACGGAGACGTCTTCGGAGACAGTGCTGGCTCTTTGGCTTTGAAACGGGGATGAGCACCGCCCCCTAGAGGCAGGAACAACTAGCACAGATGTGCAAGGGGAACCTTTATCTTTACCTTTTTGCTGCATAGGAAAAAAAATAGAATTTTCTTTCTCAATGCCCTTTTCTGGGTGGGGGGCGGCTGTTTTCTTCTCTTTCTTGCAGGGCTACCGCTCCCACCGTTTGCCATGGCCAAGCTAGAGACCCTCTCTGTCCTGACTGATGCCAGCTACCACAGCCAGGAGACCTTCCACGCCTTCCACCCCAGGAGCTCCGAATCCACCTCGCAGAGCAGCAGCGTGGGCACTGGCGTCTCTCACGAAAAAGACTTTGCCCTCAAGAGCCTGGGGGTCACCAGGCCTCAAAACACCCACCAGCCGCTGGACGGGACGCGGAGTAGCTACTCTCTCTCCACGCGCCACGCCGGGGAGGAGAAGGTCTCCAGTTCCATCTACATCAATGGGGACTTGCGCAAGAGCGAGAAGGGGAAGGGCGACCTTGGTGGGAATGTGGCGGCCAACAACGAGAAGAACATGCCCCCACCGCTCTCCCAGTACAGAGAAACCAATAAACCACCAAAGATATTTCCAGTCTCTGGGAAACTGGACCAGGTGGGTGTCCCCATCTTCAGACGAGAATCAGAAGAGTTGGAAGGGACCTTGGAGGTCTTCTAGTCCAACCCTCAAGAGGGGGGGTTGGTTCCGTGCCAGTCAACAGAGAACCTAACGGGTGGGGAACTGTGGCCCCCTTTAGGACTTGTGGACTTCAACTCCCAGAATTCCTCAGGCAGCCATGCTGGCTGAGGAATTCTGGGTATTCAAGCCCTAAAAGAGCCANTCTCTCTCTCTCTCTCTCTCTCTCTCTCTCTCTCTCATCCAGGTGTGCCAGAAGGCAGGTGAGATCTCCCTGCTGAAGCAGCAGCTGAAGGACTCTCAGGCCGACGTGTCCCAAAAGCTGAACGAGATCGTCGGGCTGCGTACCCAGCTGAAAGAAGGCAAGGGCTTCCTCCGAGACAAAGACGAGCAGATCCTGACCCTGAAGGACTCCTACAGCACCAAAAGCGTCAGCCTGGACTTCTGCGAGAACGAGCTGCAGCTCAAGATGGCCGAGGTCCAGATGTTGAGGGAGAAGCTCGGCCAGTGCGAGCTGGAGGTCTCCAACCTGAAGCAGACCTTGGCTCACCTGGGGGGACCCCAGAACCACGCCCTTCCGGAGCTCCCCGAGAAGCTCGCGAGGGACCCCCTGGCCTGCGAGAGCGACGAGGCCAAGGTGAAGCGGCAGAGCGAGGAGAACCTCAACGCCTTGAGGAGAGAGGTGGAGAGGCTCCAGGCGGAGTTGAAAGCGGAGCGCCAGTTCCGGGAGCAGCAGGTCTTGGACTTCGAGGAGGAACGTTGCACGTGGCAGGAGGAGAAGGAGAAGGTCATCAAGTACCAGAAGCAGCTGCAGTTGAACTATGTGGAGATGTATCAGAAGAACCAACTCCTGGAGCACAAGGTCAACGAGATGGCCAACAAGGCCACCGGTCTCTCCCACCCAGACGAGAAGAAAACATGGACTCCATCCAGACTGGAAAGGATAGAGTCGACGGAGATCTAAGGACCAAGGCATTTCGAGTACAATTTGTTCTTTTTCCCAATTATGGTGCCTGTAATTTCAGCTGGAGATCTTCCCAAGTAGAATATGTGACATAACCAGCAGCATAAATCTTTTGCACTTGGCCCCCACAGATATACTCTGGTGCTCTACAAATTACTTTTATGGGGAGAGGGGCGTGGGGGGAGGTGGGGAAAGCCACAGGTGTACTTTTCTGTTCCAGGGAGGGTTTGACATCAGGAGTTCTTGAGTGTGCTGTTGTGTAGGCTTTTTAGTTGACCTGGTTTCAGTTATGACTCCCATTAGCCAATGTACCACAACCTCTGCTCCCTTCTCAAGTTCTTCATATGACATGCTTAGCCACGAGCTTGGCTGTTTCCTTGCAGACCCAACTAGGTAACGTCATCCATGCTGGAAGAGAGTGGGGTTGGTGGAGAGGAGGAGGATTGTGGGCTCCTTGGTGTTAGTTGATATGGTTTCTGTTATGACACCATTAGCCAATGTATTACAACCTCTGCTCCCTTCTCAAATTCTTCGTGTGACATGCTTCTCCGCGAGCTTGGCTGTTTCCTTGCAGACGTTTCGTGACCCAACTCGGTAACGTCATCAGTGCTGGAAGAGAGCGGGTTTTGTGGAGAGGAGGAGGATTGTGGGGTCCTTGGTGCTCTCTGAGCTTGGTTGCTTCCTTGAAGGCGTTTCGGGACCCAACTAGGTAACGTCATCAGTGCTTTGTAGGATAAACAGGCAGGAGGCGCGTCTCCGTGAGTACAAACTAGCACTCAGAAGACACGATGAGAACTCCTCCATGTGGACCAGTGGTGGGTTTCAAAAATTCTTCGAACCTACTCTGTGGGTGTGGCCTCCTTTGTGNAAGGAAGGAAGGAGGAAGGAAGGAAGAAGAAAGGGAAGGAAGGAAGGAAAGAAGAAGAAAGGGAAGGAAGGAAGAAAGGAAGGAAGGAGGAAGGAAGGAAGAAGAAAGGGAAGGAAGGAAAGAAGAAGAAAGGGAAGGAAGGAAAGAAGGAAGGAAGGAAGGAGGAAGGAAGGAAGAAGAAAGGGAAGGAAGGAAGAAGAAAGGGAGGGAAGAAAGAAGGTAGGAAAGAAGGAAGGAGGAAGGGAAGGAAGGAAGAAGAAAGGGATGGAAGGAAGAAGAAAGGGAAGAAAGGAGGAAGGAAGGAAGGAAGGAAGGAATTAATTTCAATTGCATCATTATGGATGATATCTTGACTTTTTTTTAACCTTATTCTATAAACATCTCTGAAAACATTCTTGTTTCCTGACCCATTTGCCTAAAATTTCCTTTCTGATTTTGAAAAAAAACACCATTATAGTTAATAAAAATACCCCCCAAAAATGGACTTCATAGACTGAGTGGGGAAAAAAGTTGAGAAAAATCAATATTAATGGCCATTCTCTTGTAGGTCACGAAGGCCGAATAGGCATGGCATCCATACGACTAGCCGATGGTTGTGAATTTAATGGGGAAATTCTCTACAAACATGTGACAGATTCCTTGCCTCTATACGCCAGACCTTATTTTGTGAGGATTCAGGTAGGCCAACTTCCATCTGTAGTCATCTCACAATTGGATAGAAGGTGGCAGTCTTTGCATTAGAGAACGGAAATCGTAATTTTCACAGATGTATTGCATTGTTTAAAAGATCTCAGAACTTACACATCTCTCATTGTGCTGTAATACAAGTAGTCCTCAACTTACAACCAATTCATTTGGTGACCATTCAAAGTCCTCAACAACTACTCACTGATGGCCAATGATTCCCCAAGGCTCCTTCTCCCAATGTCCTCCAGGTGTCCTGGGATCAATTCTCCGAATTCCCAGCACCCATGTTAGACCAGTCTTTCTCCATCTGAACAACTTTAGCTGGGATGGACTTCAACTTCCAGAATTCTGGGGATTCTGGGAGTTGAAATCCACCCATCTTAAAGTTGCTGAGGATGAGAAACACTGTGCTAGATAGTTCAACTTCCAGCATGTCTGAAGGATGCCATGTTCAAGGATGCTTCCCATGAATCCTTTTCAGATCTGTTACAGATGTCAAGTCCACTGAGCTTTAACCTTGGGATTATACTCTAATCATCTTCATTTAACGACCCCATAATCCCATGTGGGGTGGAGTCTGGGCAACTGAATGGAGCTAGCAAAGTATTTACTGGCCCAATGCCTTTCCTGTTGCCAATGCGGAGTTTTATTCAGCAGATATTTTCTCAGTGTGCCCAGAGAAAGGAAAATATCTGCCTCTACCTAGGATCGAACTTACAGCCTCCTGATTGTGAGGCGAAAGCCCCACCTCTAGGCCACCGCACCACTCCTGGGATTATACTCTAATGATGGGTTATTATTTGGGTTATTATTTAAATATTTGCATAATGGGGAAACAAAAATTCTTACATTTGGAAAGGAAGAGTAGAGTAATTATTTTTAAATAATTTTACGCAACTTAGAATGGCTGTGCTGTTTCTTCTTGTTTTCATAGGATGCTCTTGAGGTCACGGGAACTTTTAAATATCGGAAAGTGCAGTTAGCACAAGAAGGATTCAATCCAGCAGTTGTCAAGGATGCCTTATATTTTGGGGATGATAAAGAGAAGGCATACGTACCCTTGACGGAAGAGATCTATAACTCGATATGTAGCAACAGAAGGAAACTATAATGCTTCTGAATGTGTTATTATTATTTTTTTTTAAATTATGTTGTTAAATAATTGTAGAAAGTTATGGAAAATTGATTTTCAGTCCAATTGCACATTTATACCTAGATTTTCAAATGGCCATGCCTAACTCATTTTGTCAATTTTTTAGAGGTAGTGACAATGACCTTGGAACCAAGGGTTCAAAGAAACACGGTATATACCCCTTTACAGGGCTTTATAGCCCTCTCTAAAGTGGTTTACAGAGTCAGCATTTTGCCCCCAACAATTTGGGTCCTCATCTGACCCACCTCGGAAGGATGGAAGGCTGAGTCAACCTTGAGCCTAGTGGGATTTGAAATGCCAAATTGCAGGCAGTCGGCAGTCAGCAGAAGTAGCCTACAGTACTGCACTCTAACCACTGCGCCACCGGGGCTCATAATATCCTTGACCATCTCTTGTTCTTTCCATCCCTTCTTTTAGAACACACATGAGATGTCTGCAGTATGATTTTTAAAAAATTAGGATGGTGCAGTGGTGGGTTTCAAAAATTGTTCGAACCTACTCTGTGGGTGTAGCCTCCTTTGTGGGAGTGGCTTGCCACCCATGTGACCTGGTGGGAGTGGCTTGCCACTCAGGTGACCGGATATGAAGATGCCGACGACACTTGTCAGAACCACCTTAAATTACCCCCACACACAGCACTGGCATGCATAAGAATATGATGTAAACTTGTTTTTTAAAAGGCATCTTTGGTTTGCGTTAGAACAACTTCAACACACGCAATGTTCTGATTGCACCACAAACGCAGTAGTCATCCTTACCTTTCACAGAGGCACTGAGTTTTATAAATATGAGCATGATAGTGTAGAATAATCATATCCAAAGACCAATGGTGGGTTTCAAAAAATGTTGGAACCTCTTCTGTAGGTGTGGCCTGCTTTCCGGGTCCACTGGTAGAACCTCTTCTAACCAGTTCGGTAGATTTGACGAACCGGTTCTACCGAATAGGTGCGAACTGGTAGGAACCCACCTCTGTACTGGTGGTGCAATTGTGTTTTTGCTTTGCACTATTGCAGTTGCCATCTTCATTTTTTTTAACCACACTCTTTGGGCACCCTTGTGGAGGGTAATTACTAATAGTTATTCCAAATTGATTGCACGCCCCACTCAAAGGAAGACAATGGGTAGAATCTATTGAGTGTTTGTATTTGCTGTGATTTGTGGCTTAGCGTTAATTTGACTAAGACTGGGCTATTCAATAAACCATGTCTCAACACACCGCGTGGACCAAATCAATAGTCTGTACATGGGATCAATACGACTGGAATGAAAACTGAAACTCTAGGTGCCAAGACTAAATATTTTATTTACTGTATGAACTTACTGGGTATACAGCCTCTCTTTTAAAAAAATAAGATCTGCAATTATGACATTACTGGGCCATAGATTATAATATTGCATATAAATAATCAGACTTCGATTGCCGTGCTATGGAGGAAGGCTCTTAAGAGCTAGATAATAGTCTGAAGAGGGCAACACGGCAGCTGGAGGCCACACTGAATGGTGCATTCGGGAAAACTGGGCATGTGGTAAAACTGGGGTGGTTTCTTCAGGTCTTCTTTCTTGACCATCAGGATTTCTTTCGGCAGCTTGGAAAAGAATTTCCTGCTAGCACAAGGTATGTTCTCGAAAGGGCTGTCCAAGCTGAAGGAACGGGCCGTTTTTTTCTTGCTTTGAGCTGATAAACTCAAGACGGAAGGCAAGTCGCAGTTGGTCAAACGCCGGCTGTTTTCTGTGAAGACCTCATCCAGATGAGGCTCTTTGGCTTTGGGGATGTATCCGTTCAACAGCGACAAAGAAGAGTTGAGGGACCCTCGCCGAGGCTGGGTCGTTATTCTGGCGAGAGGAACCATTTTAACTTTCTCTTTCTCGGTGAAAATAGGTGGAGGGATACAGGCCGCTTTTGAACCGGAGTGGATTAATTGGTTGGGGGCTGGGGCCTTCTCCTCTGGGATGAGGAGAGATTGACTGGAGATGTTCGCTGCCGTCTGTTGGATGAGGGCCCAGTCTTGTTGAATATCCTCTCGGGTGGTGAACTGAGACGTTACGGTGAAGCGGATGATCAACTTCTCCTGTACGGTTGCCGGGATGACAAACAGCTTTCCTGATTTGTTCAGGTCCTGTAAGAGCTTCTTGGTCATCCAGTTGGGACCCTGTTCAGAAAAGATGGGAGTTTCTCAGCATAGTCATTGAGAAAGATACTCATTCACTCAATAGGCATTGAGAAAGATACTTTCACACACACAGACAACTGCTGAAAGACATGAATAATCCTGTTTTGTCTTTTTTGTCATTTCACCGCCATTCCATCAACCATTCATGGTTATGAGAGGCACTGTTCTGACTCAGCTCCCCAAAAACGACAAGCCCTCTGACGTGAACTCAAAAGGTTCCGTTATTAGGAATGCCGGCAGCCCTGGTAAAAAGTTTTTTTTTTCAGTTAGTTGAGTTGAGTTGAGTTTATTAGATTTCTATGCTGCCCTATTCCCCGGAGGGGACTCAGGGCGGCTCACAACCAANGAAAACACAGGGGTGTTCAAACTTGACAGCTTTAAGACTTGTGGACTTCAACTCCCAGAATTCCTCCTCTCGCTCTTCATCTTGATGATGTCCGGATGGGTGAGGGGAGGGAGCTGGAACTGCTCTAAACGGCACTGTAGATTTGTGGAACCTCTTCTATAGAAGAGGCTAGAACTGGCAGGAACCCACCCCTGCTTGGGATCCTGACATCGAGATCAATTCCAACAACTCTTAGCTACTCTTTCCTTGCTCACTGCTGAGAATTCTGAGAGTTGAACTCAAGACATCTGGAAGACACACGGCTTGAGAAATATCAGACTAGCTTCAACAGGACAACATATTCTGTTCCCCAAATAAAGGTTCATTCCCTCTGGGAAATCAACATAGAAAGCTTCTATAACTCTAAGACTGATAGCCCTTTAATTTGTTTGCTCTCTACTGAGAAATCTGCTATGCTCTTCTGAAATTGTGATCGGCCTCTTTCTAGAAAGACAACGATCGAAACCACATGGTAAGACTTGCTGTGGGTAATGGCTTACGGGCTGATATTTGGAGAGAATTTATCAGAAGATTTGGAGACATGCGCATTTTTGAGTTTTATGCGGCCACCGAAGGCAACGTTGGATTTGCTAATTACAGTGGAAAAATCGGAGCTGTGGGAAGAATGAATTACTTCCACAAGGTATGAAAAAGTAAAGATGTTTGTCCTTTTAATTTGTATTTGCCAATTGTGGTTTTTTTTGCCTAGCATTTATCAGTTGTGAACTTTGAACCTCCTTTGAAAAGTAATTTGTATGGGGCTTTCCTAAAAAACATAATTATAGTGGATCATGTACAAAGAAAAAAAAAAGCATTTGAAATCTCTGTTTTAAACCCTTAATATATCAATGGTCTTATGCTTTCCTTAGAAAATAGTACAATATGAGCTCATTAAGTATGATGTGGAGAAAGATGAACCTGTCAGAGATGAAAATGGCTACTGCATAAAAGTTCCTAAAGGTACCTATCTTTTGATATCCTTAATTGCTATTGAAATTCAGCACCAGATAACATGCTTTGAACTGTCTTTATGCTTTTAGGAAGAATCAATGCTCTGTAGTCCATTGGAAAAAAACAGGCAAAATAGAGACTATTGCTTAAATATCCAGACTTTAAAAGTCAAACACATCTTTAGGAATATGCAGCAGAAGGAGTCCTGTAGTTCAGTGTTTTTCAACCTTTTTGTGCAAAGGCACACTTTTTTCATGAAAAAAATCACGAGGCACACCACCATTAGAAAATGTTAAA